GACACCCAAATCAGTCAAGAGACAACGAAGCCAAACAATCTCAGTAGTGGCATGAGCCATAGCATGGTACTCAGCCTCGGCAGTGGAACGCGCAACAAAAGTCTGTTTCTTGCTTTTCCAAGAAATCAATGAATTGCCAAGAAACATGTAGAAGTCAGAAGTGGACTTGCGATCAGTGACATCACTAGCTCAATCGAAATCAGCATAAGCCACCAAGTCCAAAGAGTAAGTAAAAGATAACAATAAATTCTGAAATATTATACCCCGGAGATAACGAATAATCCGAACCAAAGTAGCCCAATGTGTAGAATGAGGAGCAGAAACGAACTGACTAACCACGTGAATAGCATAGGTAAGATCAGGGCGAGTAACCGTCAGATAAACTAAGTAACCCACGAGCTCTCGATATAAAGTAGGATCATCTAGAAGAACACCATCAATAGTGGTGAGCTTCACATCAAGCTCAATGGGGGTATCAAAAATCTTAGCGTTAGTAAGATCGGCACGATGAATAACTTCATTGGCATACTTGGCCTGAGATAGAAAGTAGTCCTTAGGAGAAGAAACTACCTCAATACCAAGAAAATACCACAAAAGGCCTAGATCCTTCATTTCAAAGGTGCGGAAAAGATGCTGCTTGACCTCAGAGATAGTAGAAGAGTTAGAGCCAGTGATGATTATATCATCCACATACAGTAACAAGGCAACAAATCCAGTAGAGGTGTGGAGAAGAAATAAAGTAGAGTCCTGAACACAAGGATGAAACCCAAGTGCAGTAACAATAGTCTGAAAGTGATCATACCAAGCACGAGGAGATTGCTTCAGACCATACAGAGCACGCCAATGGCGACAAACTTGTCCAAAGGAATGGTGAAGGCCAAGGGGAGGACGCATGTAAACCTCCTCTGTGAGATGGCCATTAAGAAAAACATTCTTAACATCCATCTGATAAAAAGGTCAAGAACGAACAATAGCGATAGAGATCAAAGTACGGATAGTAGTCATATTGGCAACAAGAGCAAATGTATCCTCATAATCAATACTATACTCCTGTGAGAAACCTTTGGCAACTGGACGAGCTTTATAGCGCTTAAAAGAACCATCAAAATGAGTTGACTTTGTAGACCCATTTGTAACCAACCAAATTCTTACCAGCAGGCAAAGGAACCAAATCCCAAGTACTAGTTTTCTATAAAGCAGACAACTCATCTTCTATAGCGTGAATTCAATTGGGATCCTGACAGGCCTCCTTATAAGATTAAGGTTCTAAAAAAGAGTGAATAACAAACAAAAAAGTACGATATGAAGCAGAAAAACATGTATTAGATCAACCCAATCTGTTTGGAGGATGACGTTCTTCAGTAGGATACGGTGCGGAACAGGATCAGAGTTTGCAGAAGTAGGAGGATTAGCAATAGGAGTAGAGATAACTGGTGGAGGGACAGCCTGGCGACGAGAATAAACTGACAACGGAGGAGGTGAAGGAGAAGGAGCAGATTCATGGGGTTTAGTGGAAAAAGAGGGAACAAGGTCAGGGGAAACGGTAGAGATGTACTCATCAGGAGGGACCTTAGAAGGAAATGGATCAATATGAACCAAATCCTCTTTGAAAACTGGAGTAGTGGTAGGAGGAAGCTGAAAATAAGGCAGACATTCGAGAAAAGAAGCATGACAGGAGACATAAAGACGACGGGAAACAGCGTCGTAACACCGATAGCCTTTCTAAGTAGGATTATAACCCAAAAAGACACAGAGGATTGACCGGACACTAAGTTTGGTTCGATCTTTGCAAGGAAGGACAAAACAGGCAGACCCAAACACACGAAGGATGGAGTAATTAGGAATTTGGGAGAACAAAGCCTCATAAGGAGACCGATTAGAAAGAAGGGGAGTAGGCATGCGGTTGAGAAGAAAAGCAACAGTAAGAACTGCTTCCCCCTAAAACGGAGCCAAAACTGAGGCAGAGAGAAGAAAAGACCTAGCTGTCTCAAGGAGATAACGGTGTTTACACTTGGCTCGACCATTTTGGGCAGGTGTATCTGTACAGGAAGTTTGGTAAATGGTACCCAAAGTGGCCAAATACTCACAAAACTCATTTTTAAAATATTCTCCACTCAAGTCGGACCGTAACACTTTAATGGTAGACCCAAACTGAGTAGTAATCATAGACTGAAAGGTATGATATACCTGATAGAAATTGGACTTACGAGTCATAAGATAAACCCAAGTATAATGGGTGCAGTCGTCAACAAATGACACATAGTATGCAGAATCCCCTTTGGTGAAAACAAGAGAAGGACCCCAAACATCAGTATGAACTAAAGAAAACGGTATATCAGATATAGACATTCAATGAGTTCACTAGGAGAAACGTTACCCAATATACCTGATTGAGCTAAAGACCGTAAGCGGTCAGCAGACATATGCCCTAATTGAGAATGCCACAAGTAGAAAGGACTGGACAAAGAATCTAATTGAAAAGAGGAAAAGGCAGTCGGAGAGGTTGTCATAGGCAGATACAAGCTTTCTACCATATAGAGGTCTCCAACTCTACAGCCAGTCTCAATTTGCTGTTTGGACATCCGATCCTGCACAGAACAGATAGAAGAAGAAAAGATAATATCAAAATCGGAGGCATCAAGCTGACTGATAGATAATAAACTGACAGATAACTGAGGAACATAAAGAACAGATAGAAGAGAGACAGCAGACATATCAGACGGTAAAATAGACCTAACAGATATAACAAACATACCAGACCCATTAGTAGCATTAACAGTAATAGGAAGGGGAGTGAGAGTACAATTTTGAAATAAGAAGACATGGGGAGTCATATGATGAGAGACACCAGAGTCAAAAATCCAGACAGATAAAGAGATATCTGAAGAAGACTCAAGAAAACCTGAATGAAGAGAGGAAACAATGGAGGCAGATGAGGATGGTTGAGAGGTAGACAGTGTATGCAAAAGCTGACTAATTTGAGCACTCAATGAAGCCAAATCAGGATCAGGAGCCAGAATAGATGCAGTAGAATCAGCGTGAGGCTGAAAAGTACTTGGAGGAGGGGTGCAGACCTAGATCTGAAATTGTTGAGAAGACGAGATAGGCAGATGTTCCTTCTTGGGACAATGATACTTTCAATGACCGCTCTGATGGCAAAAAGCACACTCATCAAAAGCCAGCGACATCATAATAACTAAAGAGATGAGGGGTTCAGGTGTAATAAATCCAAAACAGAACAAATGAGTCAAACTAGGGTCAAGGGTAATAACCAAAAACCAACTGAGGGGTTAAAGAGTAATAAACCCAAAATAATTAAATCAGAGATTCATGACCCACACATCAGTCGATCAGAGAGAGAGCCGACCTTCGCGAGGTGAGAGAGAAACCACTTGCGAGAGAGACAGAAGCCGAAGTTGATGCAAACAAGATGCGATAGAGGCAAGAAGCAGAGGTCGCAATATGGGTCAAACAAGTCGCGATGTATTGAGCTTCAAAAATTCGAACAAAGGGCTTGGTGACGCATGAAACTAGGGTTTTGACTGAGAATAGACCAAATGAAGGTTGTCGATGGTCAATAGTGAGTTGCGAACCAGAAGCGTGGTCGATGGTGAGTTGTCGTGCCTAGAGACAGATGGAGAAGGGGCCTTGCGAATTGATTGTGAGCAGGACCTTGTGATTACGGACCAGAATCAGAGAGGGAGCAGTGACGAGAGGCAGATTTCAATGCTAGGGTTTAGACAATGATGATAGGCTCTGATACCATGTAAGATTTCTGAATTGTTTTCTGTATCTTCAATTGTGTGTAATACAAAAATTACAACCGATATATATAGCAAACCTAAACCTAATCTAAAATAGGAAATAAGAATAACCCTATACAATCAATCAATCTAAAATATACAAGCAATCTAATTGATATATTTCCATAATATGCTTACAGCTCCCTTCAACCGCACACTTTTTTTTTTTGTCCTTTCTTTTTTCCTTTAGAAGTTAAGGTTACACATACACTTTCTTGTTTTGGGCCAAGCTAGTCCTAGCATGCCTGCACATACCACGCACCTCTCACTGTCATGTGTTTTCTTTGAGGAAACAGGTAGCAAACCTTACTCTCATTTTGTTATATTTCCAGTTGTATCTTTTTTTTTAAATTGCGATTGTGCTTTTTCACACAATGTTGACCCATGCAACACAGACATAATTAAGCTGTCTTATAAATTTTATCAGGTTCCGGATATACTTCTTTGCTTTGTCTACCTTGTATCAGCTGCCTCTCCTTGTTGATGATTGATTTAGGAAAACAAAAAAGATAATTTTTGGCTTATCTTGGTTTCACTTACCACTATCCATTCAATCAATTTACGATTTGATTGTTAAGTGAATTTTGCATATTATGTTTATATAACTTGCCACCAATACCTAGATAAGAAAGTTATGCTATGCTCTTATTTCGTTCTATGCAACTTTATACTGTTCTTTAGTGGTCTTTTTCCACTCATATTGGGTCTCTGATTCCTGACCTGAGTAGAAAAGAGATCACCTACTCTGGTTACCAGATTCGTAGATCTCCTCTGGCTTTCCTCTCCTCGTTTACTCTACACACACCATTTCACCTTAAATGCCTTCTCTTTGCATAAGTGTTGGAAAATCAAATATAAAAGCTCTATTGATGGACCGGCATTCCATACGCTCTATTGATGAATAAGAGACTTCTAGCTATTATTGAAGCTTCTTTAGTGTGAGCTTTATTATTTCTTGAAGTTGCTTGTTAATTAATGCATTACATATATCTTGAAGGCAGGCATTCATTACATTTTATGATTCTGCGTTGATTTGACTTCTTGCATTTTCAGAGTTTGTGTGCTATATTTTCCCAAATTTTGATTTTTTAATCTCAAAATCCCGGTAGTTTAGATTCTGAAAGTTTCAATGGGAAAGGATTTATGAAATGTTGTGAAGTTGACAGAATAATTGAATTGTGGATAATTCTGTTGTAGGTTCGTGGTCCAAAGTGCGCACGTAGGTTGGCAGATTACCTTGGAGAACTGAAAGAAGACATGGGAATAAAGAACATTATGGTTTTGGAACGTGGTTATAATGGTTGGGAAGCCTCTGGTAGACCTGTTTGTCGATGCACCAACATCCCTTGCCAGGGTGACAGCGCGTAGAACATATTATTATTATTATTATTATTATTAACCCATGTTGGGGACATTTATTGCATTGTATGCAGAATACATGTCTAAACAATGACAATTACTTCATATCATAGAATATGTGATCCGTTGTTGGTCAGCATATGTTGATTACTTGAAGTTACCTTTATCTATTTTTGGGAATTTCCAAGTGGGATTGTTCTACCTCTTCTAATTGTAATTTTTTTGAATCAAATAAGAGATTAATGGACAAGGCTTGCTGGGTTCTTATATTATTCCCTAATTGGAGGTGTGTATTTAGAAGCCCTGGAGTTTTTGTGGGTTTTCTATTTGAACTCAAAAGATTCATCACAACATCTACTCATGTGAGAGCATGCATGTGACAGATGTCGGTGTGGTGAAACATTTGATGCGAATAAATTATATTCTTTCTAGAATATCATGTTATTGAAACTCGAGTACATAGCCAATTGCTATTGGATGTACATATTTGTAATGTGGTGTTTTGGGAAATAATTAATGAAGTTGAGGGGTTGAGAGGATAAATTAATCCATGGTCATTAGGGGAGTGATCGCCTCTGTCGAATTTTACCTAATATTTTTATAGTTTTAAATAAATATTTGATCCACATGGATAGACTAAATTAAGATTGCGTTTGTTTTTGTTTTAGAATTATGATTTTAATAAAAAAAATTCAATCATAATTTAAAAATATATCAAATTCAATTCAAAAATTATTTTTAAAACTAATAACCAAACATATGACTCAAAACTCAATTAAATTTTTTTTTTTCAAAACTCAAAATCAAATTCTTTTCAAAACTCTATTTAAAAAAAAAATTAAAAAAACATTTTTGTATTTTGTTTTTTAAAATTATTTTTAAAATCATGATTTGAGTGCGAAGTTTTTAAGTTATGAGTTTTGAGTTAAGGTTTTGAAAAGAGAAAATTTGTTTGGTTATGAGTTTTAAAAAGAGTTTTTTATTTGTATTTCGAGTTTTGAGTTGTATTTTAAATTTTTTTGGATTTATTTTATTTTATTTCTTTAGGATAAATATTTATATTTTAAATATTTATTTATTTATTTTAATGTGCATTGTATTTCATACATTTGTGTGTTGTATTTTTTAAAATATTTTGAATATATATTTTAAATATTTAAAATTTAAAAAAAATTATTATTTTTATTTTAAATATATAATTTTTATTTTAAATATTTTTTTATTTTTTTATTTTAAATGTTTTAATTTTTTTAGTTATGTATTTGGTTACGATTTGAGTGTGGAGTTTTGAAAGTAATATGGAGTTTTGAATTATGTGTTTGATTTTGAGTTTTGAAAATAATTTTTGAATTGAGTTTTTGGTTATGTGTTTAGTTATGATTTGAGTGTGAAGTTGTGTTTTGAGTTTAAAATATTAAAAAAATAAAATTACAATATTTTAAAAAAATAAAATAAAAAATTTAAAATAAAAATAAAAAATTTAAATAAAAATTATATATTTCTTAAACATTTTTAAATATTTTAAAAAAATAAATCCAAAAAATTTTAAAATACAACTCAAAATTCAAAATACAACTAAAAACTCTTTTCAAAATTCAAAAACTTTTTTCAAAACTCATAACCAAACAAATTCTCTTTTCAAAATTTAATTCACAATTCTACCCTTAAATCACAACTCTACATTCAAATCATAATTCTTAACTAAACCAAACAGAGCCTTAAGATTTTGAGTTCATTTTTTTTAATTGGATTTGTGATGAGAAATGCTAATTTGATTTGCTTATTTATACTAGGGGATTTTTTTTTTAAGATCCCTGCTATTAAGATTTTATAGCATAAAGGACACTCAATATTTTCATAATGTCTAAGGTCCCTCAACATTTATCCGGAGAAGATTCGACCCAGAAAATTTCTCTGGACCTCCCATAGATTTTCTCTCCAAAGAAATTCTGGAAATTTCTCTAGACTTCCCAGAGAATTTCTCTGTGTTTTTGACTAATTTTCTCTGGTTTGTTCATAATTTTCTCTATGTTTTTTTATCAAACTAGACTGTAAGCCATTTAAACAACAACAAACTAGAGAAAATTGAATAACCACCATTTTGACCAATTTTTTCTAAGTACCAAAGAAATCTAGAGAAAATTTATGTGGCTTTGTGTGGCTCTATCCAGAAAAAAATTGTATGGCTTTGTATGGCTCTATCCAGAGAAAATTGTGTTAGAGACAATTTGTGTGATTTTGTGTGGCTCTATCCAAAGAAAATTATGTTAGAGACAATTTGTGTAACTTTGTGTGTTCTATCCAGAGAAAAATTATGTGACTTTGTGTGGCTCTATTCATAGAAAATTGTGTAGAGAAAATTTATATTTTTGATTAAACCAGAGAAAATTGAACAAAAAACAGTAACGTAACAAATGTTGAATGTTCAACGGATAAAAAAAATAGTAGGAATGGTCTTACCATAGCATTGCCCCATAGAGAAAATTCAACTAGAGAAAATTCAATTCAACAATTATAGACCTGTAACAAACTTGGTCTCTGTGAGGAATTTCGTCGAACACTTTACTAGTATTATCTGGAAGTCAGGTTTTGGAATAGAAATTGATAAGCAAAGAGGCGGTGAAAGGTTGAGAAATAGAGAGAGTGTATAGAGTTAGAGGCCGAAAGAAGAGAGAAGAGAGGGAAGAGCAGGACTTGAAGAGGGTGGCGAGAGTGCGGCGGTTAGAGAGGGTGGGATGTTGGAGCATGGCGACGAAGTAGCAGAGAGAGGTGAAGGAGTTAAAGAGGGCATAGATGAGGGTGGGCAGTCCAGGAGATGATGTTGGGAGGGGGGATTCGTAGATCAGAGTTTGCTATTCTTCTTCTTCTTCATCCGCCATTGTTGAAGCTCAGTAGTGACACAAAATATATATATATATATAGAGAGAGAGAGAGAGAGAGAAGTGTAAAAGGCACGATTGATCTGTATATCATGATGTTTTATGAAAATCTCTATTACAAACTAAAATAACATTGAGGGACTTAGGCATCAAAAAATATTATTATGGACCTCTCCTCCTTCTAAAAGTTGGGTAAGGATTTTAGACCAAATTTTCCTTTATAATATAGTATTATTTTTATTTTTTTTATTATTAGTTTGTACAATTAACTAGAATAATAATTTAAAAAAAATAAGAAAAATAAAAATATGTTTTTTTTTTCTCTAGAACTTAAATTTAAACAATGGTTAAAAGTCTCAAATTCTTTTTTTTTTTTTTTTTTTTTTTGCTACTTCTAATCATATATATATACACACTCAGACACACTATATGAGTGCTATGTAAGATTTGTGAATTGATTTGAATAATTGTTAAAAGGGCTAAATTCATTTAATAGTCTTTCAAAATATATATATATATATAGATATATATATATATATATATTAAAATAAGTGGGCGAATTTAAAATATAGAAATGCATATATAATTAATTGGGTAAATTATACTTTGTCCTCCTAAAGTTTCACTCATTTCTCACTTTGGCCATTTATGTTTGTAATCTTTTCCACTTTGGTCTTTAAGTTTAATTTTTCTCACTTTGGCTCTTTATGTTTGCAATCCATTCCACTTTAATTCTTCATATTTGCAATCCTTCCCACTTTATTCCTAGACTAACTTCAATCTAAAAAATTAACAAAACCTGTCACATCACTAACACATCAGCTCCATGTGTGATGTAAAAAATTCATTAAAGATGCAAAAAAAAAAAAATAAAAAAAAAAATTAATTTTTATTTAGTCTTTAGTGAACTTTTTTTTTTTCAAATTTATTCATAAACATTATTACATTATAGATACATCTAGATTAGATGCAGCTAAAAAAAAATAACAAATTTAACTAAAAAAAGAAAAAAAGTTTACTAAAGACAAAAAAATAAAAATATACCGACTCAAATACCTATATTGTCAATCATGAAATGAAAAATTTACTATCATTTTTTTCGTCTTTAGTAAATTTTTTTTTTAGTTAAATTTGTTTTTATTCTTTTAGCTGCATCTAGATGCATCTATAATGTAATAATGTTTATGAATAAATTTGGAAAAAAAGTTCACTAAGGACTAAATTTTTTTTTTTTGCTTTTTATTTATTATTTTTTGTATCTTTTGTGAATTTTTTACATCACATATAGAGCTGATGTATTAGTAATGTGATAAATTCTATTACTTTTTTAGATGAAAGTTAGTCTAGGAGTAAAGTGAGAATGATTGCAAACATGAAGAGCCAAAGTGGGAAGAATTACAAATATGAATGGTCAAAGTAGGAAAAATCAAATTTAAAGGGCCAAACTGAGAATGATTGCAAATATGAAAGACTAAAGTGGAAAGGATTGTAAACATAAATGGCCAAAGTGAGAAAAATCAAACTTAAAGAGCCAAAGTGAGAAATGGATAAAATTTTAGGAGGGCAAAGTGTAATTTACCCTAATTAATTTGGGATAATTTATTTCCTAAGTTTGGGTTGACACACATACGATCAATTATTGATTATTCAATTGAATATTTGTCACAGTGATACCTTATTTTCAATATAATTAATTTATATGATGAGAATAACTCATTTATGTTATTTTTCATAATAATAAGTTATAAATTGACAATTGGTGAATAATAATAGTGTTGCAAGTGACAATTAGGGATAACAATTTAAATCCAGCCCGACGGGGACCCGATCCCCCGTCCCGAATTATAATGGTTTTTCCCTGAAAAATATCTCCGTGGAGACGGGGATGGTATTCAAAATTAAATCCCCGATCAGTTTCGGGCCGGGGACGGGGATCAGTGTTCAAGCCCCGGCCCGTCCCCGGCCCCGGCCCCGAATTTCTCCGAAATAAAATTACTATTTTACCCCTATATACATATATATATATATATATATATATATATTATAAACCAACCCTTGTCCGTCACTCATTTACACACTGTATTGAACCCCTCTATTTTACACACTGTATTGATTTTCCTTTATCAATACATAAAATAATCATTTTCCTTTATCTTCCTTTATCAATACATAAAATAATCCATCCATCATCACCTCTTACATAAAACCAACACGTCTGTATTGATTTTATCATCCATCACCGCCCCTCATGTCTCTCTCTCTCTCTCTCTAAAACCCTCCACCGATCTCCCTCTCCTATCACTGCGATCTCCCTCTCCTATCACTGCGATCTCCCTCCTCTCCCTCCTCCTATCACCGCGACCTCCTCCTCCGAATCACCGCAGTTGCAGTGA